CTTGAAAACCAAAAATCAGATTAGACTTGTACTCAAATTGTAATTGAGAAAGATAGGTGGTTGAGGTAGAATATATACGAATAATTGAATGAAGTCTAAGAAGATGATATTAAAAAAAAAAAGGTAAATAGGATAAAGCTTGTGAATGACTTGATCCCATTCCCTAATCTCACGTTAATTAAACACCTCTCATGTACAGACAAATACCTCATTTCTTTAACTTAATTTACAAAAAAAACTTTGTGATTAAGGATTTTGTGATGCCATTATTATATTAATTTTGTTGTATCCTCTTGCATTAATTAGTGTTTTTTTAACACGTACAATAATTAAAAGTAGTATTATTTGTTTGTATCTGTTATCGAAATTGAAATCAATATTATTTTTAATAATATAGATAATCAGAAGAAGAGGTAACATGGCATGTGAGTGCACAGCTGTGACCACTCTTCCCTTCACCATTTGATAAATACCTTCTTCCATCTTCCTTCTTCTGTCTTTTGACTCTCTTCTCTCTCTTCGCCTTTTCTCAAATCTCTCTCTAGAGCTTCCACTTCCTCTCTAATGGTGGAACCAAAACCCTAGATTCCCCCTTTCATCTTCTCTGCTTCCACATCTCTCTCTCAAAAACTGCGAGAATGAAGACTTTTTCAAGCTTCTTTCTAGCTGAAACGACTCTCTTCTTCTTCTTTTTCTTCTCTCTTTCCCTTCAAGCTTCACCATCTCAGTCTTTGTACAGAGAAATCCATCAGCTTATAAGCTTTAAAAACGTTCTTCCTGACAAAAATCTTCTCCCAGACTGGTCTCCCAACAGAAACCCGTGTACCTTCGATGGCGTGACTTGTAGAGACGACAAGGTTTCTTCGATTGATCTCAGTTCCAAGCCTCTCAACGTCGGATTCAGTGCCGTGGCTTCCTCTCTCATGTCACTCGCCGGATTAGAGTCTCTGTTTCTCTCAGGCTCTTACATCAATGGCTCCATTTCTGGTTTCAAGTGCTCTGCCTCTCTCACCAGCTTGGATCTATCGAGGAACTCTATTTCGGGTCCTGTATCGACTTTGTCGAGCCTTGGTTCTTGCGTCGGACTGAAATTTCTTAACGTCTCCTCGAATACCCTCGACTTTCCCGGGAGAATTTCAGGCAGGTTGAAGCTTAGTAACTTGGAAGTTCTGGATCTCTCCTCGAATTCGCTCTCCGGTTCTAACGTCGTCGGTTGGGTTCTCTCCGATGGCTGTGGAGAGTTGAAGCATTTGGCGATTAGCGGAAACAAAATCAGTGGAGACGTGGATGTTTCCCGTTGCGCGAATCTCGAGTTTCTCGATGTTTCTTCCAACAATTTCTCCACTGGGATTCCATCTCTCGGAGATTGTTCGGCTCTGCAACATCTCGACATCTCTGGGAACAAATTATCCGGCGATTTCTCCCGTGCTATATCCTCTTGCACACAGCTCAAGTCGTTGAACATCTCCGGCAACCAATTCGCCGGACTCATCCCTTCACTGCCGCTCAAAAGTCTCCAGTACCTCTCTCTCGCCGAGAACAAATTCACCGGCGAGATCCCCGAGCTTCTCTCCGGCGCGTGTGATACACTCACTGGACTCGATCTCTCCGGAAACCACTTTTACGGTACGGTTCCTCCTTTCTTCGGCACTTGTTCCCTTCTGGAGTCACTCGTGTTGTCGAGTAACAACTTCTCCGGCGAGTTACCGATGGATACGTTACTGAAGATGAGGGGACTCAAGGTACTCGATCTGTCTTTCAACGACTTTTCCGGCGAACTACCTGAGTCTCTGACGAATCTCTCCGCTTCGCTGCTAACGCTAGATCTCAGCTCCAACAAATTTTCCGGTCATATTCTCTCAAATCTCTGCGGAAACCCTAAAAACACTCTCCAGGAGCTTTACCTTCAGAACAACGGCTTCACCGGGAAGATTCCGCCGACTTTAAGCAACTGTTCGGAGCTCATTTCGCTTCACCTGAGCTTCAATTACCTCTCCGGCACAATCCCGTCGAGCTTAGGCTCTCTATCGAAGCTTCGGGATCTGAAGCTATGGCTGAATATGCTTGAAGGAGAGATCCCTCAAGAGCTGATGTATGTCAAGAGCTTAGAGACTCTGATTCTGGACTTCAACGACCTAACCGGTGAAATCCCTTCTGGTTTAAGCAACTGTACCAATCTGAACTGGATTTCTCTGTCGAATAACCGGTTAACCGGCCAAATTCCCAGGTGGATCGGACGGTTAGAGAATCTTGCCATCCTCAAGCTAAGCAACAATTCTTTCTACGGAAGCATTCCGGCTGAGCTCGGCGACTGCAGAAGCCTAATCTGGCTCGATCTCAACACCAATTTCTTAAACGGAACGATTCCGGCGGAAATGTTCAAGCAATCCGGGAAAATCGCTGCGAATTTCATCGCCGGTAAAAGGTACGTTTACATAAAAAACGATGGTATGAAGAAACAGTGCCACGGAGCTGGTAACTTGCTCGAATTTCAAGGAATCAGACCGGAGCTACTTAACCGGGTTTCCAAGAGGAACCCATGTAATTTCACCAGGGTCTATGGAGGTCATACGTCGCCGACGTTTAATAACAACGGCTCGATGATGTTCCTCGACATGTCTTATAACATGTTGTCTGGAAACATACCCAAGGAGATTGGGTCGATGACAACGTATCTGTTTATCCTCAATTTGGGTCATAACTTTCTCTCTGGTTCGATCCCCGACGAGGTCGGTGATATGAGAGGGTTAAACATTCTCGATCTTTCGAGCAATAAGCTCGACGGGAGGATCCCTCCGGCGATGTCTGCGCTTACTATGCTTACGGAAATCGATTTGTCGAACAATTTGCTATCCGGTCCGATTCCTGAGATGGGTCAGTTCGAGACTTTTCCTCCGGCTAAGTTCTTGAACAATTCAGGTCTCTGTGGTTATCCGCTTCCTCGGTGTGGACCTGCAAACCCGGACAGGAATGCTCACCGTTCGGGATCTCACGGAAGGAAACCGGCGTCTCTTGCGGGTAGCGTGGCGATGGGATTGCTCTTCTCCTTTGTATGCATATTTGGGCTGATCCTTGTTGGTAGAGAGATGAGGAAGAGACGGAGAAAGAAAGAGGCAGCACTGGAGATGTATGCGGAAGGGCATGGAAACTCAGGCGACAGAACTGCTAACAACACGAATTGGAAGCTGACCGGTGCAAAAGAAGCCCTGAGTATCAATCTTGCAGCTTTCGAGAAGCCGTTGAGGAAACTCACTTTTGCGGATCTTCTTGAGGCCACAAATGGATTCCACAACGATAGTATGATTGGATCCGGTGGGTTCGGAGATGTCTACAAAGCGATTTTGAAAGATGGAAGTGCTGTGGCTATCAAGAAACTGATCCACGTCAGTGGCCAAGGAGATAGAGAGTTCACGGCGGAGATGGAAACGATTGGGAAGATCAAACACCGAAACCTTGTTCCGCTTCTCGGATACTGCAAAGTCGGAGAAGAGCGGCTTCTTGTGTACGAGTTCATGAAGTACGGGAGCTTGGAAGATGTGTTGCACGACCCGAAGAAAGCTGGCGTGAAACTAAACTGGTCCATGCGACGGAAAATCGCGATTGGATCGGCTAGAGGGCTGGCCTTTCTTCACCACAACTGCATTCCGCATATCATCCACAGAGACATGAAGTCGAGCAATGTGTTGCTCGACGAAAACTTGGAAGCTCGGGTTTCTGATTTCGGCATGGCCCGGCTTATGAGCGCAATGGACACGCATTTGAGCGTCAGTACATTAGCCGGCACTCCCGGTTACGTTCCTCCTGAGTATTACCAGAGTTTCAGGTGTTCAACAAAAGGAGACGTTTATAGTTATGGCGTGGTCTTACTCGAGCTACTTACGGGTAAACGCCCGACCGATTCGCCGGATTTTGGAGACAATAACCTTGTTGGATGGGTGAAACAGCATGCGAAACTACGGATTAGCGACGTGTTCGATCCCGAGCTTATGAAAGAAGATCCAGCACTAGAGATCGAGCTTTTACAGCATTTAAAAGTCGCGGTTGCGTGTTTGGATGATCGGGCTTGGAAGCGACCAACTATGATACAAGTCATGGCCATGTTTAAGGAGATACAGGCGGGCTCGGGGCTAGACTCGCAGTCCACGATCGGATCAATAGAAGATGGAGGATTCAGTACAATAGAGATGGTTGATATGAGTATAAAAGAAGTTCCTGAAGGAAAATTATGAAAATTAGAGAAACACCGATTCTTTCAACATCACTCATCCAAGGGTCAGTCCAATTTTCCTTCGGTGTATTTTTTTGTATTTTCTACTGTATTCTAAATGTATGTATTTATGTTATTTATACATAAGACGGGTTCTGTCGGATTGGGGGATGGAGAAGAGAAAAGAGTAATAACTTTGTTAAAAATATGTAAATATACAGTTTTCCATTTTAATGTTTGCGTTTTTAGTTCTTTGAAACATTCTAGTTTGCTTGCTGACGAATTAATTTTTCCTCTGAATTCCTAAAATAAATTTAATAACTGCAATATATAAACAAAAAAGGGAATATATAAATTTTGTGTAATAAATTTCGACCGATCTTATTCACGTAAATGCACGTGACCTATTATTTCATTATTGTCGGATTTAATTTGGGGTATTCACGGTGCACGGGAACGGGAAAGTAAGAATAGATGAGACTTAGATTTTTTTTTTTTTTTTATATGAGTGTAATATTTTCGTAACAAATGTGGTCCCTTTTGACATATGGTGATTAAAACGTTTTTCATTTTTTTGTTGTCTATCGGTGAATTGATCCGTTGGACCAAATTCATATCCATCCACCTTATTCAGTGCAACTTTATTTTTATAGAATATTTTCCAGTACAGCTGGTTTTTTTTTTGGCCGAAATATAACGAATACCTTAGAATTTAGATTATCAATTAAAACTTTGAAAGGATGCTGAATGCATCGTTCTTTCTTGTATATTGATGATGTCACGGAGTTATAATTTACAAACGGGAAGATAGTAGGATATTTGCTGTATAATAGAACAGTAATTGATAAGATAAACTCAAGTGGCGTTAGATGTATAAATACGTTGAAAATGATAGGGTGCTCACTAATATAATTTTAAATCTAAACTTTAAGGGATTGATAAATAACATGGAGAAATGGACCTTCGCCTGAAATTAAAAACAAAGTCTGGGTTTCATGTTTCTGTGACACTGCACCAACATTGGCACAACAAATCTTACACAAGGAACGTGCGCCTCACGTGCTCTTCTCTTTCTCTCTCCACCTACGTGGACTGTCTTCACTCCCCTCGCTCTTCGGAGTTCATGTTCCTTTGCTTTTAATTATTTATTTTTCTTTTCTTACTACTACCCAAACCTAAAACAAATCATGAGTTTTAGGACTTTAGACTTTTAATGTTACTTAAAGAAAGGTTTATCCGGGTAATATGTAGCTTTATACGCATCATAATAATGTGCAGCGTTTTTTTTGCTGTTGTCGTGTGCAGCGTAAATATATGATTTTCACAATATATAGCAAATATATTTTACATAATAACCGATTGTTAATGGAGAATTAGCCATCAGATGCCTCAAAATAACACAAACAAAACAAAAATGTCTCAAATACTAGTCTCAAATACTCCCAAATATAACATTAGCTTTCTGTATCCAAAAAACATAATCTCCCTGTCCGTTGCAACTAAAGATTTCGCAAAATGGTAATTCGATAACTAAGAAAATTAATGTGCTAAACTCTGTTCTAAAGCCAGCAATCTCTATTTATATGATTAAACGACCAAAAGTTGAGTAATAGTTTAATAATGTTAGACTTGCTTTTTATATAACTTTTTATGCATTATAGCTTCCATAGGTTACACCATTGAACTGGATGGAAAAAAATTACTAACGTTTATATAACTTTTTGACAAAGACATTTATGCGAAATCTTGACTGATAATAAGTGATTTCGTTAGTTAATGACTAAAAATATAATTCCAAGAATTTTGTATAATTTATGTTGGTGTATTTTTAAGGTTGTTTCCCTATTTAATTTGTAAAGAAAAATAAATTACTGTATAAAGAATTCTGGTCATTAACCTTGTTATCTAGCGAAAAACCACTTAATACCAGTAAAGATTTCTTATAAATGTGTTAGTCCAAAAACAAAATCGCATAAATGCGTGATTTGAGAAATCTTAAGAAATTGCTCATCAGCCTGGGATTTTATAGCTTATAGATCGAACCAGATATTTTAAATTTCTGTCTGTCGTATTTTTTTATACTAAATATACTTTGTGTCTTTCTCGGAAGCTATACATAACAAGTGCATCAATCAATCTAACTACAAAACCGTCCTAAAATATCGTATTTTAATATTAGCTACGAATAAGACTACTTGTACATGCTACTTATATAAAATATAAGTTACACATGTATTTCCAAGAAACATAATATATATATATATATATATATTTGGAAAAATACAATGGACACACATCATCCATTAATACATAATTACATATACATAATATACATACATACCTAGTTACAGGCTTCATGTATAATTGTAATTGTACTTATACAGACAACACACTGATATGTACGCGCGTGTAGATATTGAGTAAACATACACGCTTAAACTAAGGAAATGGTGGAGAAGAGAGGGAGAGAGACGAGTAGCTATCAAGCTTGAACACGCGCGACGGTGGTGGGGACGGAGCACGTGGGCCACCGTGCATGCAAGCTGTTCTTGTCGGAAACTTCCCCTAACAACGTCTCCCTCCGCCGTGGGCCGCCGTCCCTTTCCTGTCTCCGCCGAATTGACCTCTTCCGCTCTCTCTCTCTCTCTCTCCCACGTGTGTTTCCTTCTCATCCATACAATTTTCTTAATTAAACTATTATCTTCCTAATAGATATTCTTAATACATTTATTTTTCATGCATAAATTTTTATTATATATTATTTTGACAACTTGTCAACAATACTATAACTGACGCAAATTATTGGGTGCGTACGTGGGTTTCATTGCTATTTGTCTGATATCAAGAACTCAAGAAACAAATAATTAAATACAGGAATAAGCACAATACAAAAAGCCACTACACAATAGATATATGAATGATAGCCTTGCAAATGAATTGCAGGAAGTAGAAAACTTAAAGGTGAAATTGAAGGAAAAATAAAGTAAACAGGTAAGTGGTTTGCAAAACCGTAGAAGAATTTTCCTATCATAAAGTTGGTAGAATTACTAAATACCTGAACATAATTTACGATTCAATATAATTTATGCAATTGATAAAAATGCATAATTACAACAATGTTCTATCATCTTACTATCATATTACGTACGATCGTTTTTACTGTATAGACCAATAATTCATGTTGAAACGTCGTTGTGTGTCTGCATGTTTTTTTGGTTTTAACTGTGTACAAATAAAAATACTCTATATACGTGTCAGTGCAAAACGGACCATGCATTTCATTTAGATATCTTTTGTAACGTATTACGTATATAGGTGAAGGATTGCGATGTGTACGTAATCTAAAATCAATATAGTCGTAGTTTTGTTTAATTTAACAAAAAAATCGTAGTTTTTTCATTCTCGAGGCGTCTATCTCACATACAATTCTCTCCGTACGTGCGAATCTTGTTCACAAGTTTGAGGTTTCGCAATCTACACATTGGTACAAAAAAAATATTGTAAGTAAACATTAGAGACAAACCCATTTCCATGCGTGTGAGCTCTCTGCCATATACAGCTAATACTTCTGAAAACAACATTGATTAATTAAACGTCTCATAAAAAAAAACTGTATAACCAATTTTGTTAAATTTTATGAAATATTATATACAAAGTTTAAAATGTTTAATAATTCATGGTCGGAAATTTAAAACAAAAACGTGGAACAAACAATAACTCGTAAAAATAAATTAAAAATGTCAACACGAAAAAACTTATTTAATATATTATTATTATTATTCTTTTTCTATTTTGATTTTAAAACTTAGAATTAATTTCAATTTTTTAGTAATTAAAAAAAGAATATATAAGATACATAAGTCAATTATCTGTTTGCTAATCAATTAACTTTAAATTGAAAGCTAATAAAACTTGACGGCAATTTATTTTCTGTTCTGTCAATTCAAATTGTGGTTTTCAGATTGTAGTTTACTTTATTATTCGTTGTTTATTCGTTATATATTTTTGTTACAATATGGCTTTTAATTTGTCTGATAGATTCAAATGATCAAACCGAATTATAATCGGAATAGTATATAATAATTATCTAATCTCTGTATTCTTGGCGTCAAACTCTTCCAGCTTAATAGAAAAAGCTGATTAATTGTTAAAAAGCTGATTAATTGTAACTTACCTTATGTAAAATAAAGATAGTTTAGTCAAATAAATAGCTGAATTCATCTCACCTAGGAATCTTCCTTCTTTTCACGACGAAGAGACAAAGAAACAAAAAGCGACGGCTCAGATTCGTCAATGTTTAGTAAAACTTAAAAAAATACTTCCCTCCAGCTTTCTCGTTTTTAATTACCAGTATTCTTTGAACATATAAAAAAAAAGAAAATTCACCAATATTAATACGAGTATTTCATTAATGCTGGGGCGTGAGGATTACGTTTGCTTTAACTTTTCAATGGTTTGAATTGCTTTAAAAGAGTATCATTAAGTTAATAATAAACAATTAGTAAAAATATGTCGAGACAATGGGTGATGTAACACAATTAGCTATTAACTTAGATTAAATTATTCTGTTAAATACATTATTATGAATATAAATAAGACCTTGAATTAAGGACGCGAACGTGCGGTCCACGAGGGAGTCACGTGGGGGTCTCCCTCGGACTCGGCGGAGCAAGCGGGTCACAACTTTTCATGTCCTCGTAACTTATGAATTTAATTTATATATTAGTTTATCGTTCTTTTTTGGTAATAAGGTTTCGTAAGTTAACTTGATCAACGTGTTACTATTGTTTAAAATTTAGTTAGCTTTGGGCATCGAGACGCTCACGTGCTTAAACGCTTATCGTCAACTTTGTTTTCTTACTTCGTTGGTTCGTCACGGTGGTAGTTATCTTCGTGAACTTTGATATGTCTATTGGGCGATAAAGATGAATTTCTCTTTGTTTCCGCAAGTGTAACTTTTTGAGAAGCCCACTCACGAAAGATGAAAGAAGCCCATCAGTTACAAACTTAGGCTCAGCACGCTGTTTCTTTGGGGCCCATTAAGACATATTTAAATTGGCTTCGGCCCGTTGATAATTAAAATAATACATTTTTTTATACCCATCAGTTAACATGATCAAAGCCATAGGTGTGTGGTAGAGTTTGGTCAAACTTATAATTACGGTTTCACACTGTTAAATTACAGTTTGCTAATGTGTACTAAACTACTATAGTTACAAAAAAAATACTAAACAAACTCTAGAAGCAATATAAAGTAAACAAGAACTATTACTGTAAATAAAACACTCGAATATATATCAATACCACCCAAAGCTTTAACACATTAATTCTTTTTTAAAAAAGAGCAGATGTCTCCGAATACATTCGCATATATAATCTTCAGGATGGAAAAGGTACATTAATTAATCATCTTACAAAATTCGAACCTAAACGACCACACAAACACACTACACATAAAGACATCGTACCTATTTCCTAACGAGAAGAACATATATGTAGTTATTACCTTCTTTTTCTATCAAAGTATAGCGATGTTTAGATCGATGCAGGATAGATAAATTTTAGTTTTAAAAAGAAAAAAAAAATAGAATCACCAGAAGAAGTTGGAGAGAGGAGAGTGGTGGGAGGAGGAGAGGGAGTCGTCATCGAGATGATTAGAAGGAGAGTGAAGATGTCTTCCTTCGTAAGTAGTGATTACCATTCTTGGATCATCTGCCAGTCTCTCCACTCTCTTCTTCACCCTACACTTGTCTTGTGTGCATCTGTAATAGCTCCTGCCAATTTTAAAATATACTATTAATTAATTCTGTCAATTTTATTATGACAAATGCATCACAACATTATATACATTTTCAAGGATAGTCTAGAAAATAATATCATATTTTGAACTAAATCAAAATTCATGTACATGTAAAATCATATGCAGATATAATCATGCTAAATATATATATACATATCACAAAAGGAACATCTTTTACGGGAAACAATTCTTGTGTATCTAAATACGCTTTAAAATTTTGATTTGAACCGAATACATATAGTGCTGCATCAAACATATATTAAGAAGGCAAATGGAACTTTGTAGTGAGCTCATGATGAAACTTTACAAAAGAACTAAAGTTAAATTTTTGAAGAACTATACCAATTACCCAAACAAATCATTGTTGGTAAATGTCCAATGTCAACTAGAGAGAGAAAGAGAGAGGGAATCTTAAGGAAACCCCATATGTCTCACATAATACTCAAACTCTTCCACATAAAATTATTTACTTTTGTAAACGGTTATCTTCTTTTCTTATATACTCTTATCGCATAACTAATTATCCCACTGGGCCATGAGTCTTTGTTATGACATAATCACATAACTGATAGCAATTAGTACAGATTTTAGTAATAATTTTCAATTCATTAGTAAAATCTTAAAGCAATTTTCAGTCTTTACATGGCTCATAGGTAACTTTGCATCTTTTGAGGCTCCATGTTCTCATCATATTACTTAACTTTAGATACTTGAAAAATTCTACTGGTTCGAGTCTGTAAGTTCCTATGATAAGTAACCCCAAGCAATAATGAAAGTCAAAGAGACAACTGATATATAACTCATACTGACTAAACAAATACTGAAATAGAGTGAAATTTCTTATCATTATAAGAAAAGTAGTTATTTATTTGAATTATCTAAGATTAAGAAAGGTAAAATACCTGGGATGTTGAGTGTTCTTGACAACTTTCTGGCCATATTTTCTCCATCTATATCCATCATCTAAGACATCAACATCGCTTAGTGTCTTGAAGCAAAACCGAGGCTCCCTCACTTTTCTTCTCGTCTTCAGCTTCTTCATCTTCAGAGTAGACACTACTCCTAACAAATTCGTGTTATGTTTCTGACGACGAGGACCATCATGACGTTGATGATGATGATGATCATCAATACCACCGCCATCACCAACATCATCATCAATATCGTCTACATCAATCTCGCTTCCATGGCCGTTTTTCTCGCTGTAGTCGTATCCTGCTTGGCTACTCCATGCCCTAAATCACATTAACACAACGTATTTTACATAATTGGCTGTGTCATGTGTGCATGGCACCTCTAACCAATTAAATTTCGGTACAACATACAAAGAAAAATTGTTTAAAATTATGTGAACTTTTATTAGTTTATATATGCATTCAGAATGTTTTAGAAATTATAATTTTATATTAGGATTTCTCGTATGCAAAAGTTGTAGACTTTAAATGACGGTATGTATATGTAAGAGTATATATATATATATATATATATATATATATATATATATATATATATATATGAGGGGATGCTATGAATCTTAGGAAATTCACAAATAACACTATTTATTGAATTTTAGGCGCTTGATGACTTAACTATGATCTAATTACCCCCTAACTGTTTTAATATAAGATGAATATGTGATAATTCCTCATAAAGCGAATCAATATCTTATGTCGGGAAAGGAAAAAAAGGAGATTTGAGATCTTATAGTTGTAGTTGTAGAGAACCTTAGAGACTTTAACTTATTTAATTTTATTATTTATCGTAACTAACTTACCATAAGTTTGGAGAGGGTCTTTGGGATGATATATCACCGGTAAGACGATGATGATCAAGATTAACAATACTATCATGAGCATCCCTTTGCTTTGACGAGATTAGGGTTTCTGGGATATTCGCCATGGGATGGATGGGATCTTGAGGGTGAGTTACAAAGGAAGAGGGGTTATTGTGAAGGAAGGAGTTTAAGGAGTAATGACCTAGAAATGGAGACACAAGAGAAGAAGGAGAAGATGAAGTCGAGGAAGATGACGAGGATAATGTGTGACTAGGAAAAGAGAAAAAGAAACCTAAATGGTTACTATTATGAGGGTTTACGATGTTTTGTGGTTCATCGAATAAGCTTATTCCTTGGTTTATCGCACCCATGTCTCTCTTTCTTTTACACAAAACCTTGAGGAGATGAGATTGTGTGTGTGTGTATGAGAGAGAGACAGAGAGGGAGTTTTGGTAGTGGTGGATCTTTTGGTTTGATTTTGGGTTGAGACAATAATCCAATTGATCCATCCATGTGAGTTTTTCGATAGATATATAAATGTTGGAAAAACAAACTTGCAGGTGGGTCCATTTGGATTGGCTTTGTTGGAAGATTTACATGTGACTAAAATGCAAATTGTTTTTCATTCTCCTGGTTTTAAAATTAATAGTGATGTAGAAAAAATATGAACGTTGATTTTGATCTGATCCATATTAAATAGAGTTTATATTTTGTTATATTATTGGGTCAATGAACTTTAAGGGATTAGAACAATCATATGTTTTTTTTGGGTGATGCTATTATATATACATATATGATGATAATATGTAAAAATTTTTAGGGGATTGAAGTTACTAATTGAAGTGTTTTTTGGTGATGCTATTATATAGCGTGGAAAGAAAATATTCATGTGCTCAATTTTTTTTTTCTAATATATGTTGGTTCAATGGCCTTGCAACTTTCTCTTCACTAGATCTAGCACTAGATATTCGGTTACTACCAAGATGTACATTTTTTAGGTGACAATATTACAAAACTTGAACCAGTTGTCCACTTAGCTTTTCCAAACTAAGATTAATCTGGTTCTGTGCTCTTAAAATCAATGCTTGTACAAAACACAGATTAATCTTTGGCAATATATTTAAGGGCCCTATATTTAACAGTTAACCTAAAAATAACTATCTGCTTGCAGTATAAATTCAGTGTAAAAAGAAAAAGTAAACAAGTAAATACATGGTACTTTATCGATTGCTAGCTAATTTACGAAGGTAGTTATGAAATCAATATATGGGATATATATATAATATATATATATATATGTTTTAGGTTTTTTCACAAGCTTGAGATGCATTATTAATGAATTGATAAATGTCGTCTAGACAAAAGGGAGAATAGTTTCGTTGATGTAATATGTTAAAGAAAATCGAGAAAGAAAGAAGAAAATGGAGAAAACGCGTCAGAGTACTCGAGAGAAAGCTGAAGAGGTAGTGGGAGTTAACGTCGTGTCGCTTAAACGGCAGTCAGCTTTTGTTACGGCGTCCCGTTACGTCCCTGAAACGGCGTTCATCTATTGTGTTACTTATGTATATGAAATGCCTATTTCTATGGATATTTATATGAAATCCAAATTCTAATTATTCTACATTCCTACTTATAGAAAGGCAATACATTTTGTTGGACAAAAGGCACTATAGAAAAATCGTGTTTTGAAAATTTATGATTGAAGACTGAAGATTACTTCTCGAATTTTTTTTTTTTACTTTTGACAAAAATTTGCATATATGTGTTAAAGGTATTTGTACAGTTCGAACGAATAGAGATGGATAATTGCACCGTTTTGTAATCATTGTTTCAACAAATCCAAATCCTCTAGTCGGAAAAAAAAATCCATATCTTTTAGAATTGGCGTTTTCGAAAAGATTTCTTTACAACATTTATATTTAGTTCTGAAATAATTTTCCATGGAAAAAAATGGCTGGAGATGTGACGGGAATATATACACATCTATCACTTTCTTATAGCTAGGATTTCATATTTTCTTACAAAATGATGTAGTACTCAAATAATTTATAGATTGCTATTATTTTGGGAATCTAAAAAGGAATACATTGAATTATAGATTAGGAGGAGCAATGATGAAAAATCTTAGGTGCAAATCTATTCCGCTGTACGCTGTGTGAGGATATCATGATTATGATTTGATGAATTAGACTCCTATTTGACATTTTCTCGTTTAAAAATTTGCACCTAATGAAAAATAGAAAAATTTATTAATCATACAATAGAGAAAAGTTTCTTACCTTTTTCTCGTTTTACCTTTTGCAAGATTGCATTTTGTAATATTTTCATCAAGTTTAGAAACCCCACCGTTTATCAACTTCGAAGCTCACTTTTTTCCCCTTTATGTATACCTGTGTACATTAACCTATATTTGTACTTTTATAACACATCAAAGTGCCTTTTTTTTTTTCAAAATGCTTTTATATATTAGGTTAACCACACGTTTAAAGTTATGATAACGCATTTATTCCCATAGTTGAAGTAATGCACATTTGTTTTATACATCAAAGTAAGTCTTTTATCTACTATAGAAGAATTTTGTTTCATTAACCATTTAACAGAATATGACTTCTGTAAGTTTTGTTTCATATAACATTAATTCAAGAATATTATGAACTAGAATTTGCACTTCACAAATGTGAAAAGTTATAAGGTCCGAACATTTTGTTTTGTTCTTAACTGCAGCAACAACGGGATATTCCATGCGTTAGCATGTGATTACTGTTCTTTTGTCTAATTTAATTTGGTTTTTAATTTTCGTGTCTCTGTAACAGTTTCTTTAGTCATTTTGTGTGTTATATTGTATTTTTGTTTTACTTTATTTTTTTGTTTGTAATTTTTGGTTGATTTTTTTTTTTGTTGATTGCTGATTTTTTTTTAAGTAACCCCATGGTCTGTTGCTAACAATTATTCGCATGGTTAACATTAATAAATGATAATTAACAATAATTCCCGCATATTATAGCAAATGACAACAAATGTTTGACTAAATTATGTACATCCATTCTGTCGTTAATTTTCTAGTCGATAAAAAAGGAACCTCGTCAATAGTAGCAGCATCAGTTACGTCATTAGATCATGTCCATCAGCAATTTTAGAGAGATTTTTGCCCAAAAACCTAGGTAAAATGAAATAAAAGAAATAGAAAAAACTCAATAACTTATAAACAATCCTTATATAACGATTTTAAGGATCAGTTTTAAGATCAGTTTTAATGAGTTTTTAAGGCACCTATTGATTGATCATTGGTTTCTACTCAAAAATTTTTTTGGACCCATCTTAACTATTTTGTTCTCGACCATTTTTTGGTTTGTTAGTGAAAGATTCACCAATGGGGACACAAAACTCAAACAGATCATTCACTGTTCATATATCCTAAAAAATTATTTTTATATTCTTAGAAACTTCAAAGAAAATTTCTCCAATGTACCTGCTTTTGGTAACTCGCGCTGTACTTTTGTTGCTTAGAGCAAACAAAAAAAAAGACAAAAAAACAGTGGAAACAAAAAAAACAGTATTAATATGTGACTTATAAGACTATCTCCAATGGGGAATTCTAGTAGTAGATTTTAAAACTATATGTATATAATAATAATAATAAAATATTAGAAATGTTTTTAAAAGAGGAGAGAGGGTATCTATAATCTCTTATTCTAGAATTCTTCTTTCCATTTTTTAGAATTCTCTCTTCTTTTTTAACATATTTTCATTTTATATAATATTTTGAGAACTTTGACCAAAATTTTAAGAACCCATGGTTGGAGATGGTCTAAATTATATAACAAACAAGTATGCGATCCCTATTTTAAAATTTAAACCATGATAAATTAACAGAACACGTATGAACGACTACCATATCATATTTTAACAGATTGTTTTTTGTATATACCAAGTAGTTTCACATTATATTAGTATTGTAGGATATTATGTAAAACGCCGAGTTTGAGAGCGATAAAAATATCATATTGTATCTTGCCATATATTACTCTGTGATATTATTATTTTATACAGTTTTGTATTTTTCAAAAGGTTTATCTTTTTCATAACTCTGCCTCATCTCTAGTGATTCTAGATTTCTGTTCTATTACTGGATTTTTTTCTAGTAGAAATTTATAAAGTTCTTTTGTAATAAGAACAAGCTTTTTTTTTCTCCGGCATATTTATTCTAGTGTAGTTTAGTTTAGCTTCCTGTCGTAAGGACAACGTCACCATGACCTCGCGTTTGTCCGTGGGAATAATAGTATAGCGAAGGAACATACACGTACCTCGCAATCAGATCGTTTTCTTTTTACACATTAATGTTCGTGTGTGCGTGAGTGTTTAATATTTTTTATCATTCACATCTGGCCAAAAAGAGGAAAAGGGTAATTTTTTTTTCTATTTGAAAAAATAATAATCATGAGTGATAATATGAATCTGATTAATGGGCCTTCAGAAGTGGGGAAGAGACTGAAGTGTGGGTTGGCGAATGTAATCATATCGTCTTATTTATTTTACTTTGCTTTTTTTTGTATGTATTAAAAACTTTGCATTATTTGTTTTCACATCCATCACCTTTCTTCCTCTCTCTTTACCCCTTCAATAATTACACCTTCAGTGATCTCTGAACAACTGGTAGTTTCGTTTCAAAGCATTATATCTAACCAAGGCTGTAACTATGACTATTCTAGTCCGGTCCTATCAGACTGATCACCTAGCTTTGAGTAACAGTAATATTGGATCGGGTAAATACACAAACAAAGCTTGTGGATGTTTTTCGAAATTGAGAACCACCTATTTGATCGGTGGTTTCTAACCGAGTTAAAAATAATATTCTTAACATAATTTGAACGTAACTAATGAACAGTTTTGATGTGAGTCAAATTTCATATTTTAAATTTCTACACGTTTAACATCGATTATTAAAGAGGTTCTCAGTTTAGGAATAAATACCAGACATTATAATGTGAACTAGCTGATTTTGATGCGTACCAAACTCTCTGGATCTCAATTTCATATAAGTTTAATATCAACTAGTAGAGAGGTTGTCAGATTAAAACATTTGATCTACATATTTGAACTAGCAAACGGTTTGGATGTGGGACAAGTCTCAGATTTCAGGTACGAATAAGATTAACATCATCGGCCTAAAAGGTCACCAAATTACAAATATTATTCATAAATCTAATCTGAATTAGCGTTAATTTTCATGTGGGTTACCGCGATTTTTTTTTTTTTGGGTATACTTTTAGTGTTGTCAGTCTATATGTCAGTCTATATAGTAGTATAATGGAGATCGAGTTCACATGAAATCCCCAAAACAAGTTTTTTTACTTTTGACGATTGAACAAAAAGCTCCCATCCTTAGAATAATGTAAGATACAAAAAAAAAATCAGGTTAGAAACACGGCAATTTCGATCAATAGCCATAAAACAATTCAGTGTAGCTCA